GCCAAGGGGTGGAGCAAAAGACCTCCTCCCCCAGCACAGCCAAGTGCAGACCATCTCAGACACCTGCACTCAGGCCCGTGGTCCTGATCATCCTCTATTCGGACATGCCGAGCAAAGCCACGAGGAACCCCAGAACGGGCTCCCACAGGGCTGTTTCCAGTTTGGGTTGTTATTCACTATATGAATAGTTTTGTATGAACATATGCTTTCATTTTTCTTGAGTAAAAACCTGGGAGGGGAATTTGCCATGTCATAAGGTAGTTGTATGAGTTATTAGCAACTGCCAGAATGTTTTTCAAAGTGGATATGTAATTGAGACTCCTACAAGAAATATGTGCGAGTTCACTTTCTTTCTCATCTTCATCAACATTTATGTTGTCAACTTTTATTTTTATCCATTCAAGTGGGTGTGAAGTGATTTCTGGGATCATTTCCTTGATGACTAATTACATTAAATATGTTTTGTGTTTGAAGTGCTCATTTCTGTACCTTCTTTTCTAATGTGTCTGCTCAAATTATTTGCCCAACTCTTCACAGTTGTCTTTTTCTTATGTGTTTTAAAAATAAAACCACATGTGCTGGAATTTGATATGCAATAAGTTGCATATTTAAACTGTGGTAATTAAACTTTGATAAGGTTTCATAAATACATGAGCAACTATGAAGTCTTCCACAAAATGAAGGCAATAGCATATCTATTACCTTGAAAGTTCATCAGATCCTGGTAATCTCTTTTTCCTCCTCTCCTATGCCCAGATAGCCAATGATTTGCTTACTATTCCCAAAGTTGTTTGTATTTCCTAGAATTGTATATTGCTTCCTGTTTGGTGGCTTCCACCCAACAATTTGATGATATTCTTAGTCTGTTGTACTTCTACAGTAAAATAATTGAGGCTGGGTGTTATGGTTTAAATCTATACCTTCAAAGTCTAGGAACTGTCAATCTGATCATATTAAGAAATGAGACCTTCAAGCCAGGTGGCGCAAACCTTTAATCCCAGCACTAGGGAGGCAGAGGCAGGAGGATCTCTGTGAGTCTGAGGACAGCCTGGTTTACAGAGTAAGTTCCAGGACAGCCAGAGCTACACAGTGAGACCATGGCTCAAAAAAAATCAATCAATGAGACCTTCAAGAGGGGCTACATGGGTCAGAGATGTTTGTTTCTTGCTAATTTTTATTGATATCATCTCCAGTAAAATGTTGAACAGAAGTTGTGAGAGTAGACATTCATGTCTTGGCCCTGATTTTAGAAAGAAAGCACTCACTTTCCACTCTTAAGCATGACAAGACTTATAGATTTGTCACAGATATCCATTGTCAGGCTAAGAAAATTGTCAACTTGTTCTGGGAGTTTAAAATAATTCTTTTAAAAAATCTGCAGTGGATGTTAGAGTTTCTCAAATGCTTATGGTGCAACCACTGAGTTAATTATCCAGTTCTTTCTTCTTCATTTGTTAATATGTTGAATTACATTTTGACTTGTATTTCCTTGAGCAACTCTGGTTATGACATTCTATCCTTTGACATTTTTAAAGTCACATGGCTAAAATGTTCTTTAGAATGTTTTATGTATATGTTTATTAACTATACTGATTTATAGTTCTCCTTTTTCAATTATTGAGTCTCATTATCAAGAATAGCAAAAAGAAAAAAGAAAAATAGCAAAGTAAATGCAAAATAAGTAGAAGGAAGGAGGTATTCTAGACAAGATCAGAAATCAATGAAACAGAAGACAAACTAGGAAGAAAATGAGTAAATCATACATGTTTTAAAAAGTAATGAGGTTTGTTATTAAAAGTATTGTTGTTAAAAAGTAAAAGGAATGTTAATTAAGAAAAATATGATATATTTAATCATTAGTATCAGGAATGAAAAAGGTATTGCCACAGATCATGTAGGTATTAGAGAATAATGAGGGCACGTAATGAGCAGCTTCACACCAATCATTTAAGTTACATAAAATTGACACAAGGCAATTTTCCAAACAAGCAGCATAACAAAATAAAATAAAACATGAATAGTTCTATAGTTTGTAAACAAACTTGATTTTCTATCAGAAAACTTTTCTAAAGAGTCTGGGGAGTAGCTCAATGGGTAAAAGCACTTACTACTTGTGATGGCTATTCTTGGTTGTCAACTTGACTACATGTTGTTGGTTGCTTCTTTTTTACTCTTTTGGCTCATTGGGGTCCCACCACCCAGCTCCCAGATAAATCACATGGAGTCTTATTATTACTTATAAATGCCTGGCCTTAGCTTGGTTTGTTTCTTGCCAGCTTTTCTTAACTTAAATTAACCCATCTACCTTTTGCATCTGAGCTTTTATCTTTATCCTGTATACCTTTCTTTAATTCTTACTCCATGGCTTACTGTGTAGCTGGGTGGCTGGCCCCTGAAGTCCTCCTCCTTCTCTGGCTACTTCTTTCTTCCTCCCAGATTTCTCCTTCTGTTTATTCTCTCTGCCTGCCAGCCCCACCTATCCTTTCTCCTGCCTTGCTATTGGCTGTTCAGTTCTTTATTAAACTATCAGGTATTTTAGATAGGCAAAATAATACAGCTTCACAGAGTTAAACAAATGCAACATAAAATAATGCAACATATCTTTTCATCATTAAACAAATGTTCCACATCATAAACAAATTTAACCCATTAAATAATATTAAATAATTATTAATTAAAATAATATTTCACAATAACTACATCTGGAATTAACTAAAACCCACGTGGCTTGATTCACCTGTGAGGGATTTTTTTCTTAATTAAATCATTTGGAGTGGGAAGACCTACTTCTAATCCACATCTTTGAGGTGGGAAGATCCACCTTTAATCTGGGCCATACCTACTGGCAGCCTATATAAAGGACAGGAAAGAAGGAAACTTTTGCTCTTTACCTGCATGCCCTCTTCTTGTTAGCACATCCATTACTTCACTGATATTGGAGCCTGCTTCTTTAGGATTCCAGCATATACTGAAGATAATCTGAGACATCCAGCCTCATGGACTGAGCAACTAGTGGATTCTTGGACCTTCTATTGGTAGACAGCCATTGTTGGAGTAGCTGTGGACAGCCTGTAAGCCATTCTAATAAATCTCATATATATATATATATATATATATATATATATATATATATATATATATATATATACAGATTCATTCTGTAAGTTCTGTTCCTCTAGAGAACCCTCACTAATATATTACCCAAGTGTGAGATCTGAGTTTATGACTCAGTACTTACATAAAAGCCTACCCAGGAGCATGAACATATGTAATCCCAGCATGTCTAGGGGAAGATGGAAAGCTGGAGAATTTCTGGAAGCTTGTGGACTAGTTAACTTGGTTATCTTCTGTGGTCTGGAGAATGATCTGTGATTAGTATACTTTCAGTTTTTAATAGATGTGTTTATTAAGTATATAACAAGAAAAATTAAAAGAATAAATAGATAGCAGCAGATAGAAAGAAGCAGAAGACATAGCAGAACATCATCAAATCTGGTACCCACAATATCCAGAGGAGGTGACTGGAATAGCCTAATTGAGAAAGCATACAAAAATATCACCAAAATAGGGCTTACAAAAATCCAGATGAAATGTGCTGGGGCAGCTCCATTGAGGCAGCCAGCTCCCAGAGTCCACTTTCAACAAGTTTAAACACTTCATGACAATTTATCAATGTAACAAACATTGCACTGGTTATACAGCAGAAATACAATAATGAGACCCTGTTTCAAGCAAGGAAGAGTGACACTGAAGTTGTCCTCTGATATCCATGGAGTCACATGTAAACATGTATACATGCACATGTATGTATACATATACATACACATGGTACATACAGAGAGGGGAGTTGAATGTTAAAAGAAAACTTTGCTTTAAAAAGTGAATATGTAGGTGCAGATAATTTCATGGATGAATTCTAGCCAATATTTAAGGAACAAAAATCACAGATCTCATCTCACGTAATAGTAAAAAAACTAGAGCAGAAAAGGACTCCTACTTCATTCATGAGGCAAGGACATAGGACACAGTACTAAATCATTGTAAAAGATTATATATTTAGAAATTATAGAGCTGGCTATGGAAGGATTCTAGACTTGGGGTACAGACAGTTGTTAGAAAGGACACCTGATTGCAAGGTTGCAGATGATGGTGGGAGGAAGAAGTACATTTACAGTTGCTGTCTGGTAGTGCAGGGACATCAGCCCAAGAGGAAGAGGGATCCATGTTTATTATCCACAAGAGGGTGAGTAGGAGAAGACAGTAACCATGCTGGAGAAGAGAGAGGGGCCCCTTGATGCTATAGTAATTCGGTGAGAGGACCACAGGATACCAGCTGTATGTTTGGTGGGGCTTGGATTGCCTGGTGTCCATATGCCTTTCTGTCTTTTGCATTCACAGGCTAAAGAGGAGCTGCTACAGTCAGCACACATCCCTGTCTGGTCATGTTCCCTTCCAAGTCCACTGCTATGGCACTGGCGATTCTTCAGGACTGGTGTGGGTGGATGGGTGTCAATGCCCAGCGTTCACTGCTTATCCTGGGCATCCCTGATGATTGTGAGGAAGACGAATTCCAGGAGGCTGTGCAGGCTGCCCTCAGGCCCCTGGGCAGATACCGAGTGCTTGGCAAGGTCTTCAGAAAGGAGATAGGGGCAAAGGTTGCTTTGGTTGAATTCGCTGACAATTTGAACCAAAGTTTGATCCCCCGACAAATACCAAGTGATAGGGGGCCCTGGTCTGTGATCTTCCTGCCTCAGGTCCCTGATATCGAGTTACAGGGTACATTCAATTTCCCTGCACAGGCTCATGGGCAAGCTTTGCAAGGGGCTTCAGGTGGGGCAGGGGCTTCAGGTACATCAGGGACTGCAGTTGAGGAAGGAGATGGAGGTGAGACAGGGAATGTGGGTGAGGCAGGAGGAGCAGCTGAGGAAGGCGCTGAGGATGAGGCAAGAGTGTCGGAGGAGGAAGGAACAGAGGGTGAGGAAGGAGGAGCGGGTGCAGCCCCTCCTGCCTCCTTCCTACAGGAGGAAGGAGCTGCAGCTGAGGCAAGAGTGTCAGACAAGGAAGAGACAGAGGGTGAGGAAGGAGGAGCAGGTGAGGCAGGAAGAACAGCCGAGGAAGAAGCTGCAGCTGAGGCACGAGTGTCAGATGAGGAAGGAGCAGAGGCTGAGGGAGGAGTTATATATGAGGCAGGAGTAATAGATGAAGCAAGACTGTCAGACGAGGGGGCTATGGATGAGGAAGATGATGTAGTTGAGGCAGGGGCTGCAAGAATGTCTGATGAGGAAGGAGCTGGAGGGGACATGGGGGTTGCAGGTGTTATAGGAGCTATGGGTTGGGTAGGAGCTGCAGGTGAGGTAGGAGCTGCAGGAGAAGGAGGCGTTTTAGAGGCAGGAGCAGGTGATGATGGGTCTGCAGGTGAAGAGGGGTCTGTGGGTGATGAAGGGTCTGGGAGTGATGAGGGGTCTGCAGGGGATGAAGGATCTGTGGATGGTGGAGGGGCTGTGGGTGAAGCAGGAGCTGTAGGTGAGGCAAGAATGTCAGATGAGGAGGGAGCTGCAGGTGACATGGGAGTTGCAGGCATTATAGGAGCTGTGGGATTGGCAGGAGCCGCAGGTGAGGCAGGAGGTTCAGGTGAGGAAGGGGCCTTTGATGTGGCAGGAGGGGCACATGGGGCTGGAGCCTGGACCCAGCAGTGGAGCCAAGCCCTGCAGCCCATCCTGGAAAACATGGCCTACCAGGAACTGAGACACTTCTCTGGGATGGAAGAGCCCGGCTCTGGGGGTCAGTCTTTCGAGAGCTGGCTGGACCATGCCAATGACATGCTATACCTGTGGCGCCACATATCCGAGAGGGAGAGGCGGCGGCGGCTGGTGGAGAGCCTGGGGGGCCCTGCCCTGGATCTCCTGTGTGAGCTTCTGGAAGAACATCCAGATACCCCTGCACAGGACTGCCTGGCTGCACTGGTGCAGGTGTTTGGCAACAAGGATACCGTGATGACCGCCCGGCTGAAGTTCCTGACTTGCTCCCAGCGGCCTCAGGAGACCCTCTTTGCCTATGTGATGCGCCTGGAAGGTCTGCTGCAGATGGCCCTGGAGAAGGGGGGCATCCAGCCTGCAATGGTGGATCAGGCGAGGGTACGGCAGGTGCTGATGCGGGCCAGGCCCAACCAGATGCTGCAGAACACCCTGAGGAGGTTGCGGCTGGAGAGGCGGCCACCTGGCTTTGTGGGGCTGCTCAGGCTTGTCCGGGAGACTGAGGCGTGGGAGGCAGCTCTGGCTGAAAATGCGGTGGTCCCAGTGGGGGAAGGGGTGGAAGTGCATGGTGGAGAGCTGGATGTGGCCCAGGCTGCCCTTGTCAGTGTTGGGGGTGCTGAGCCTGCCCCTGCTGTTAGAGAGGCTCTGCCAGCTGGTGAAGATGCTGGCCAGGCTGCTGCTGCTGTTCTTGAGCAAGCTGCTGGGCCTGCTCCTGATAGTGGTGGTGCCATAAAGGCAGGCCCTGACTCTGATGAGGCCAAGGTCTTCCCTGTCACCCAGAGAGATGAAGATGTGTTGGCCCCTACTGGCTCAGGCCAGGCGAGGCCCACTGAGGGCCCAGGTGTGCCTGAGAGCTTGGCCCGTACAGGAGATCAAGAAGTAGAGCAGCCCTAGTAGCTTGAGGGGAGGATGGAGGATGACAAAAGATCAGTTGATGCTCATCTTGTGGTGGGACTGTAATTCCAGCCTGTGGTAATGTGATGGTCAATGTTGTCAACTTGACAAGATCTAGACTAGCCTAAGAGACAAGACTCTGAGCATGTCTCTATTGGATTAATTGAGGAAGGAAGACACACATTGAATGTGGGTGGCACCATTCTATATACTGGGGTACTGGACTGAACGAAAATACAAGAACATTCACTGCTTCCCACTTCCTGACTTAAATGCGATTTGATCACCTGCCGCACAGTCCTGCCACAATTATTTTCACCATGGTGGACTATACCGTCAAACTGTGAGCCAAAATCTGCACTTCCTTCATTAAGTTGATTTTGTCATGTATTTTGCTACAGCCAAGAGAAAAGCAACTGCATCCCACCACTGTTGGGGTAAAGTGGAGTGGCAGCAGTGGCTGGGTAAACATTGGCCAAAGAAGAGCTACAGCAGTCCCTTGGGTAGATGCTTATACTGTGGGATATACTGGTTACATGGTTTTCCAGAGATTGGGGGCAGGAATAAGGAAGTTATGTGTAAAAGGGAGAGTGCAAGACAATAGCCAGGCAGGCCTCAGGATCCTTGACAGTGTAGTGAGTATTGTGGCAGAGGGCATCTACCTAGAAAACATGGTGAAGAGGGGAGTCTACAAGGATTAGTGCATGCAATAGGACTTACCTTCAGAAGCTGTGTAAGACTCAGAGTTGGTGTTTGTCTACTCATCCTGTTTAGTCTACTTCTACTAGTAAGCAGAGCCCAACTCAAGTCTCTTCACTGAAGGATGTTTAGGGACTAGGTAAACTGGGTGCTACTCATGGGACAGAGAGTGAAGAACTGATTCCTCTGAAAGCACCCCCACAGAAGTGGATGGCAAAACAACAAAAAAGCATAAGCAGGGATAGCTCATCTCAGCCTGTGATAACACTCAGCTTGTCCCTTGGTCAGAGTGGAGGAGTGTGTGTGTGTGTGTGTGTGTGTGTGTATGCATTCCTGACAGTAAATGAATGTATGAGTATTGCTAGTGGATGGGGTCACTGTCATTGACTGTGAATGAGTATGTTTTTGAATGTTAGGAGCATGAATTTCTCTCAGAATACATTGAACATGATTGTGTGTCACTGAAGGTGAGCTTGAATTGAATATGTGTGACAGTGTGAGACTGAGACTGTGTAGAGTCAAAATGTGTCTTGAATTTGAGAGAGAGAGAGAGAGAGAGAGAGAGAGAGGGAGAGAGAGAGAGAGAGAGGGGGAAATGTAATTATATTTTATTCTCAAAATACTTTGCACACACAGGAGTTTGTGGATAAAATAGACTTCATTAGGTGTATTAGGTGTTGGTTAATGTGAGAGAGAGAGAGAGAGAGAGAGAGAGAG